CATATTAATTTGTCTAGGATGAAGCATAAATTTAGTATAACTCTGGATATATTTATTAAATGTATGACCGTTATTTAAATGTGAATTTAAGAATGATTCATGGAAAAATTGAATTAAAAGATAATATGAATATTTCCATGAACTTTTTGAAGACCCTTGTATTTTACATAACTCCACAGTATCTTTATAATAACTCTATCAAATTAGACATATCATAATGTCTAAGTATACAAAGTAGATTTTATTAAACAAACATCATCACCATGTCCTTAACCATTTTTATCACATTTTAACACCCATCCCTCTAAACTTAACTACCTGCTTAAGATTCAACTTCTACCTATTTCTTCCAGGAAGGTCTCAATTGAAGAAGACAGCTAAATAAAAAACAAAACCTGTCATTTGGGAAGGACTTTTGAGTTGGGTATTGAAGGATGTTCAGGAGGACAAAGGACAAAAAATTCCGTGGCAGAAAAGAAATGCCCAAAATGTGCAATTGCACATTTCTCTATTTGTAGGGAAGTAACTGCTTTTCTTTGGAGGAGATCAAGGGCTTGAGGGTTGGGTAGAAGGGGAAGGTCTACTGTGGCTGGGATTCCTGGGGTGGGCAGGGGGAGATCTAATCACCTGCCTTTCGTTCTTCCGTGGTCAGCCATCTCAGAGTGCCTCTCTGAAGTCACTCTTGCCCTTCCATCCACCTAGGAAAATGGAAGTGACCATCACGGAGAAGCGGAGGAAGCCAGTTGCATCAACTTGCTCAGCCTTGTGCCTTGAACAAGCTCAGTCCTCAGCAAGAAACTGTCTGTGTAGAGAGGGGTCTGTCTGGGATGCTTAATACCTGTCTGCTTTTAAATCCTGATTCCATCCCTTACAGTTATGGGATATTGAAAAAGTTGCTTAAACCTTCTCAACCTCATTCCCCTCCTCTCCACATATGGGAACAATTAAAGTATCTTCTCTATTGAGTTTTTGTGAGCATTAAATAAGATAATCCAAGGAAAACACCTGGCACATAATGAGTGCTCCAAAAATCTACCCTTTTTTTGTATTGTAATTTTAAAAAGCAAGGAGTGTCTTGATGTTTATCATATTGCTAATTACTGGTGGAAAAACCTACATTAATTGTTTGCAAACAGATATAACAACTTTTTTTTTGCAAGACTTTTAAAAAGATAAAGGAACATTTACTTAAATTACGAATAAACAATTTTTTTCTTTGTCCTTTTCTTCTTTCTAAGGAATACTAATGGTGCTTGCTGTCCTTATAGGGTGGCGTGAGGAAAGAAGTGGGACATTCACAACAGTGCCCACCCAAGTGATGTGCTCAACAATTGTTGACTACTTTTGTTATTTTCTAGCATCCTTCTCTGATGCTGCATGGATTTTCAGTTGATTATTTAAATTCCTTGCATCCTTCACACACTTTTAAATTGTTATATTTATCCTTATGTGATATTTTCCAAGAAACTATACGGGAAAGTTTGGGGAGGGAACAGAGGTATAAATATTCATAGTAACTGAGATTTTTCCTTTGTGGGTAGCAAGTAATCAAGTTCTGTTTAATCTCTTTCACAAAAAAGATGGGGAGTTTGTTTTATGTTTGTTAGAATGTAAGACTTTATGGATAAAGTTTAACAGTGATGGAAAATTCAAGGTAGGCCAGGCTTTGTGTGTAACATAGTCTCCTTTTCCTTAAGAATAAAAATATACTTTAGGTTTAAATTAAAAATATAAATCACACAGGGAGTAAAATAAACTTGGGTGTGTACACAAAGCAGATGATAAGAAAGGGTACACTCATAATTTCCCAAGGCACAATAATTATGAGAGTGGATGGGCTATGAAACTAAGTCAACATCTGTCAAAAAGGTCATAAGCTCTGGTGAGTTAGAAAATAAACAAACATAGGAAACAAATGAAGTAAACATGAGAAAGTGTCATGCAAACATGTAATCAATAAATGGCAACATTTGAAATATAAAAGACACTAGATCGGAGAGTTGATTTTGATTTATATTTTTTTATTTGTGAAATTAGTACTTTCTTGTTTTGAAAGAATACTATGGAAATATATGAAGTAAAAGGTGCACCTTCCTTAATACACCTGCCTCTCTGCCTCAACAGTTTCTGAGAGGTAGGCATTTGTTTGCTGTATTACTCTTGTAGATACTTTCTGCAAAATTTTCCATTGTGCATCTATATTCTATGTATCTCTTCTCTATCTGTATACCTATTTCCATATCTACATTTATATATCAAAGAAACATAGGAAATACTTTTGAACAGTTGATATTCTTAATGTTGAAAACAATTTCAGATAAGGAAAGTGTGTGTGGAAGACATCAGCCAGCTAATTAAAAGCTTTGGTAACAAGTACTTCTAGGAAAGAAATTAAAATTTAGTGAGAAAATCTTTATTACTACCATCACTATGGATTTAAAGTATTTTGCAGATTATACAGCACTCTCATGAAATCATATCATTTTGTACCTTGAGGTAGGCTAGGTAAGAATTATTATTCTCATTTACAAATGAGGAAACTGATGCCTGAAATGATTAAAAGATATGCTCAAGTTCACTCCAAATCCATGTTATCAACATTATCAAGACACTGACAGTGGAAAAGTCAGCGGTGTAATACTGGACTGGGCATAAATTTGATTATAGTTACTTAAAACATAAATTTTTCATCATGGAAAATTTCAAACACATAAAAGTTGAGAGAATAGTCAAATGAACCCTTATGAACCCATCGTCCAACTTCCACAATTATTAATCATTTGCCAATCTTCAAATTTACTTAGTAAGATATGAAGTCCAAAATACTGATGGTAATGTAACCAAATTTGGTGATCATGGAGTGTAATTTATGCAGTGTGCTTTGGACATGAACAATGTATATTCTGTGTGCACAAGCCCAAAGGAGTAGCTGGAGACACAGAGTACTCTGTGATTAAATTAAATTTGTCCTGGGTGAAGCTGTTGTGATGACTGCTCTTTTATGCTCATATTGCTGTTATTTTCATCATTGTAACTCCAGTTCCCAGTACGATGCCTAGCACGTAGTAGATGTTCAAAAACTGTTGATGAATGAAGGAGCCTTATTTGCAGTTTAGATCTTCGCAGCACAAAGGATCCCAGAGCCCAGGCATTGTAGTATAACTAAACTTTGCAGGATGTTTTTCAATGTGTATCCAGTGCTTACTATGTCTAGGATCCTGCACTTACCTAGCGGCTGAGTCCTATTCCAAGTGCCCTAAATGATCACAGTAATTCACTTAATTCTTGCGAAAACCCTGTGAAGAAGGTACTATTATAATCTTTTGTGTGTTTCATAGATAAGTAACCAGTAAGTTGATCAAGATCACATGGATAGTAAGTATCTACATGGATGGTAGATCTTGGAGTCAAATCCAGACAGCGGCCCCAGAGTCTGTGCACTTAGCCACCACCCTGCTGCTTCTGGAGGAAATGTGTCTGAATACCATCTGTGGGACACTGAACACATGTGGGGCACTTTGCTAGATGGTGGCCTTACCTGTACCACTGGATTAACTCACAAAAATCACTCCTTTGCTATGCCAGGTAATGGGAGGACATTGCATATAGAACAGACTTTTTTTTTTTTTTTTAACAGACTTTGCTGTTTTTCATGAACACAAGGCACTTCTAAGTGTTGTGTGGGAGGGAATGTGGTAGACTGATTTCATTGAGATCCTGCCAAATTCTGGTCCTCCAGCCCTCAAAGACGCATCATTTCCTCCAAGACTTCTAAAGGGGGCTATTACCATGGGCCTGCAGGTTCTGGTTTGCATTTGGAGGAGACACTATCTTCTTAAATGAGACATGCAAGAGGAAGTGTCATGAATTGTAAATAAGGCTGAGAGAGAATTGTTTGGAGATGGGCATGGAGAAAAATTGCCTTCTCCAAACCAGGTTCCATCTCCCTCCCCTTTATTTGACTCTGCCACAGCCCATCCTGTTTGGTCTTTTTTTTTTTTTTTTTGGTAAGTTTACTAGCAGGAAAAGAGGAAATTCTTTAAAAATCCCCCCCCCCCCCCTTTTTTTGCCTCTCCCCCACCCCACCCTTTTTGTTTTTTTTTTTTTTTGGAAATTTTACTAGCAGGAAGAGAGGAATTTCTTTAAAAAACCCCCCCCCCCCCATAAATAGCTCCTGGATAAATATTAGTACATCTATACAGTGGAACACCATGTCAACATTAAAAAGAACGAGATGGAGCTTTAAGGGTTGATGTAGAATGATCTCCAAGGTATATTCTAAAGGGAAAAAAGCCCCAAACCAAGGCTCAAAATAGCATTTATACCAAGGTACCATGTGTGGGAAGAAGAGTGTGATATACCTATACCTATACGTGCACAGAATTTGCTTGCAAAAAAGGAAACATGAAGTTTGCCTCTGCCAAGGCAAGGTCTTTTCACACTAAACCTTTTTGTATTTTTCCAAAACATTTTAACCATATATATTTATTATATTTCAGACAGCGTTAAAATATTTTGTCAACCTGAAAAAGTAGAAGAGTAAATACAGTAAATATTTAAAAATGGGGGAGGAAAAGCAGCACTTCACATTTATTGTGTACAATTAATCTAGTTTGGATTAGATGTAGAAATAATAATTCTGTCTCTTTATCTTGCTGAAGGATGGTCATGAAGTATTAAAAAGCACCTGGGAGGTAAGAGACAGAGGGATTTGGAAGATCCCTATTTAATGAAGTTAGGGGACATTTGATGTCACTTCCCAGGTGTGGGGAGAAACGGAGAGAAAACAAGAAGGAACAAACGTGGTCAGGAGAGAATCGGAGTTCCTCTCCAGAACACGGGGAGACACTTGTGGGGTTTGGTCACTGGGTGTCCTGGACGCTCCGGGTCTGGGAGCTTTCGCTTCATTGCTCCTCCAGTGAAGCCCTCCAGCGGCTGACCTGGCCAAAGTCACGGGGAACACGGTGGACGGAAACTCTCAATGACAGCCTCACTTGGGGATGAGGGATGAGGGACGGGTGACCCTCGTGTCGCGGGTACGTTCGAGCTCTAGGTATCGGCAACTCCCTCCGCGGAGCTCCGCTGTAGGTGTTTGGCCAGAACCAGGCAGGAACCTCAAACTGAAATGCCTTCTGGGGCTAAGCAGGTAACTTCAAAATATCTGAAAGCCCCAGGTAGAATGGAAACACTCGTAGCGGGAACATCGGCGACGAGTTTATTTTCTGAATAAAGGCATTCAGATTCGGACTTTTAAACTACAGTTGTGCTAGCCAAACAAAACACTCTAAAACAAACACTTTAATACAAACCAAGCGACTGTCTGGCGCGACCGCCAGTTTGCCATAGTGTCTGCTCAGTATTTGCGTCGCCCTGGTTGCTCCAACCTGCTGCTGATCCTCAGCCACTCCAAGGCGCGCGGCCGCGGAGAGGATCCTCCCCTTGGTCGCGTCTCTTGAGGGCACCGTGTCCCTCGCTGTGCCCCTGGTGATGCTCCCCGGGCTACAATTCCATACCGCCAGAAGCGGAGTGGCTGCGCCAGGGACGTTCTCTCCGGACGACTTTGGTCGCGGAGCTCTCCGGGGCAGGTGGGGAGCGCGGATCCCGGCGCGGCACGGGCGAGGGGCGGGGCCGGCCGCAGAGGGGAGCCA